GGTACTGGGAATCGAACTCAGGACCTTGCATTTGCCAGGCAGGAGCTTGTGCTGCTGAGCTGTATCCCTAGCCTTGATGTTCTATTTTTCTATAATATCATTTGGGCCCAGGATCTCGAATTATAGGCACATGGGATCTTTTATTTATATACATTTAGAATGTTTCTTGGTAATATATATAGATAATTCATGATTAATTGAGGAAAAAAGGTACAGTAAGTAAAATTTACCAAAATGAGGCACAAAATAGATTAAATTGATTAAAGTTTAAATTGCCCAACTAAAACAAGCTGAAGATTATGACATATGAAAATAGCATGATGTAATGTTTCTTAAAAAAAGAAAAACCCAAAAACTCATCTGGTATAATTGAAGTTTTGTACCCTAGGGCAGTATTTCCCTATCTCCCCTACTCCAGCATCAGGAATACCTTATGAATAGTTGGCAGTTCATTTGCAGTTACTTGTAGTGCCCTTTTGTGTCATCCTTGTTTCATGAAGAATAATATTCCCCAGGTTTATCTGTGTTGCTAAAACTGACAGGATTTCCCTCCGTTTTAAAGGCAAGATAGTACTCCATTACAAACACATACACACACACATGCACACAGTATCCCTTACCTGAAGTGCTTGGAACTAGATAGATGCATTGCAGGTTTTGGAGTTTTCTAACTTTTGAATACTTTCCTGTGAGCATCCTTAATGCGAAAAGCTCCAAAGTCTGAAATACTTCAGAATGCAAAAGCTTTTTTGATTTGTTGGAGGTCAGGAGTTTTTGATTTCTGGCCATGGTGATACATACCTGTAATCCTAGCCCGAAGGAGGCCTGGCAGGAAGATTGTGAGTTCAAGGCCAGCCTGGACTACAAAGCAGCACCTTGTCTCCCCACGCCAAAAAAAAGTTTCATATTAGGAACAATCAACTTGTATCATACTCTCTTTATTTATCTTTCGACAGACTTCAGTTTTGGCCATGTTTTGACTTGTAAATAGTGATGTTTATTTTTATTTGAACTTGAGTCATTTTGAATGTTAGACTTCAAGTTTAGAAGTAAATCTCAGTTCACCCTTTTCCTTTGCCTTTCCTTTTCTCGTTTGTGTACCACTAACAGCTACTGTCCACTGAGTTTGGAATCTCCATGCTCTTGAAATCCCTAGCTTTCTTTGGGCTAGTTTGTGCTCTGGTTTTTCAAATGGTTGTTGCAGGATGCATCATGCTACTCAGTGTACAGAATTGTTTTTGTCAGGTGGGAAGGTTTTTTTTTTTGGATGTATACTTTTTACTGTTTTGTTTGTAGTTGCAACTAGTGGATGCCATTTTAGTACCTGATGCTCCAACCACAATTCAATCACATTGATCAACAAAATTTTAAAAAATTTACACAGTTGACCACCAATTACAGCAGGGTGTGCTACATCCCTGGCCCACCAGTTTATATTTTTACACATTATCCAAAAGTGGAAAATTGGCTGGTAGAAAATTTATTATTAAAATTTCTTTGGAAGCCATTATGCGAAGGAGTTCTGTTACCTGGAAGGGTCATGTGCATTTATTATAGGTAGCAACTGATGAGATTATGCAAAAAATGATGGTAATTTTTCAGTAGTATGCTGTTGTATTCATACCTATGATGTTGATCTCTGCTTTCATGTACGATTGATTATTTTTTTTTTTTTTTTTTTTTGAGATGGCATTTTGCTATTTTGCCCAGGCTTATTGTGAACTCCTGCGCTCAAGTGTTCTTCCCACCACAACCTCACAAGTATCTGGGACTACAGGCATGTGCCACCCTTTCAGCATAGATTATTTTCAGAGCTAATAGTAGTACCTTAAATGTTCTCAGCTTCCTTAGTTTTATACCTGGAGCTGGTATTTCAGGACTGACTCCTGAAAATTTTAACCTTAAAACCTGTTCATATCAGCTATGATAATTGTTTAGATTGGATACCTGTACATTACTTTTGCCTTTGTCTATTAAATTATTCTGTTGGTAGACGTTTGGATTATTTCTAGTTTTTATTGTTATGGCTAAAGCTGCAGTGAATATTCTTTTTTTTTGAGACAGGGTCTTGTTGTGTAATTGAGGCTGGCCTCAAACTCACTGTGTAGTCCAGACTGGTCTCCTGGTGATCCTTCTGTCTCAGCCTCCAAAGGTGCTAGGATTACAGGCATGTGCCACCACATCCAGTTTAAAGTGAATATTCTTATGCATGACTTTTGGTGGATACATGCACTAATTTCTTTTGTTTTTTATTTGGAGTAGAATTGCTGGGGTATAGGGTAGCCATAGTTTTAGTAGTTAGTTACCAACTTCTACCAGCAGTGTGTGAGAGTTCCTGTTCCTTCCTCATCTTTGTGGTTTTTTTTTTTTGGTTTTTCTCCGGTACCGGGAACCGGACTCACGACCTTGCGCTTGCCAGGCAGGCGCTTTTTGCCGCTGAGCTAAATTCCCAGCCCTTCCTTCCTCATCTTTGTCAATATATGTAGTAATAGCTTTTTTGTTTGTTTTTTTTTGTTTTCCTGTACTGGGAATCGAACTCGCAGCCTTGTGCTTGCCAGGCAGGTGCTGTGTCGCTGAGCTAAATCCCAGCCCCAGTAATAGCTTTTTTGTTTTGAGCTATTCTGGTATTGTTATTTTGTGATACCTGGGGATTGAACCCAGGGCCTTCATATACTGAGTTATATCCACAAGCCCGTATTTTATTTGTTACTTTGAGGCAGAGTCTCACCAGATTGCTCAGGCTGAGCTCAAACTTGCAGTTCTCTTACCTCAGCCTCCCAGAGTGCTGGAATCATTGGCATGTGCCATGACACCCAGCTTCTTAATTGTCTTTTGATGAAACTAATTCCATTATTGTATGACTGTTTATTTCTTATAAGTTGATTTTTATCTTTGTCCTTTCTATTTTTATGTTTATATTCCTACTTTTTTTTGTTGTTGTTGTTGCTTTGCTTTTTTGAGACAGGGTCTTGTTATTTAGTTCAGACTGGCTTTGAACTCACTGTAGCCCTGACTGGCCTTGAACCCACAGCAGTGCTCCTGCCTTAGCCTCTGGAGTGCTGGGATTACAGGCATGTGCCACCATGGCCAGCTTTCTCCTTTGTTTTATATCATTGTAGAGGGTAGAATTAATTTATGCTTTCTCTTATATGATTTTCTTTAAAACATTCAGGGAAAATATTTAGCACCTTTTAGAATTTCTGTTTTCCTTTGTTTAGTTATTGACCAAGTATGACTGAACACCTAGTTTTAGGTATTTTTTTAGGCCCCACATTTCCTGCATCAGTGGATCTTGTACATATTTGCAAAGTAAGTATTTACAGATTATTCAGCTTTTCTGTGTATTTCATAGTATTCTGATACTTTAACATTTGTTTGGTTGATTGTACACTGTTGTTGGTGTACATCTTTTTTCCCCATGATAGCACATCAGAGGCAAGTGAATGAGATATTAGTATAGAGCAGTGCTGGCAAACCTATGGCATGCATGCTGTAGTTGAAAGCTCTAAAAGTTCATCATCACTGGTGTAGAGTAAATTACTCTGGTTTAATAAGAAAAATAATTCACAAATGCCAAAATTAGACTTTTATGCAGTTTTGCAAAAATTAATTTTCTATCATCTAGAATTCTGCTTTTTTTCCACATGTGCACATTCGAAGTCAGCTATGTTTAAAAGACTGCATCGTATAAGATGGATTTAGTTGGGCTGCTGTTGATAGATCTTGAGATGAAATAATGCTTCAGTAAAATATCTTAGGCATATTTTCTTACACTCTTAGAAATACAAAAATTAGTTCTTAATAGTATAATTGAGTCAGAGGGACACAGATTAATTGCAAAATCATATTCTCAGAGGTTGTAACCATTTAGTCTCCTTCCCCCAGTAAGTGTCTCAACCTACCAAGTTTTGTATTATTTTTGCTTCTATTGTATTCCAAAATACCATCCCCATTGTATAACATCAAACTAGTTTCCCAGTTTGATGTTGTTATTCTTTATTAATCCATGCCCTATACTTAGCAGACAAAATGATCTTTGGAAAATATTAGTCAAATTATGTCACTCTATTTTGAATAGGTATCCTTCAGTGGCTTTTTTTGCACTTAAATGTTATATCTCTTGTACCATACTTTCCAAAGTTTTCTGCACCTTAGCCATATAGATATATTTCCGTGTTAGAGCCTTTCCTTTTCATATTCCGTTTTTATGTTTTAGGTATTCTTTTTTGCTTTATTGAATCTGTGTCTGTCCCTGTCTCTGTTCATCCCTCCCCTCTTCTCTCCTCTTGTCCCCTCCCCTCCACATGAGCACGCTCAGTTCTCGTTATCTTAATTTTTAATCAGTTTGTCTGTTTTTGGTTTTTTA